GCATCTCCAGTGTAAGTGGTTAGCGCCACTTGACCCGGCTCCAGAGGGGTGCTCTTCAGCTCTGAGCGCCACACAGATTCGCTGATGATCGTTCGGCTCGCTCCTGTGTCGACTTCGAACACAAGCGGCCTTCCATTGACCTCCACCGTCGTCCTGTAGGCAGGAACCCGGTGTGGAGCATTTGTGGCGTTTACTTGATACATGTCGCCATCCGGCTCCGTGTCGTCTGCCAGTACCGTGTGTACCGCTCGGCAGACGTTCCTGAGATGGCCCACTTTGCCACAGCCGTAGCACGTCGCACGCCTATGGGGACACTCCTCGGCCTGGTGACTGCGCCTGCCACAGCGGCTGCACGGTAAGCCACCGGCTGAATCACTTGGCAAGCTGCCAGCACTGGCCGCCGTCTCGGCCGGCCGGCGTGTGCGTGTATGAAATGCGCGGGGTCGTCGCCTCAGCCCTCCCGCGGCTGGCCCCGCGGCAGCGGCAGGCGCGACAGCGGAGACTGCGTGCAGCGGGTCTGGGCCGGTCACTGCTGTGCCTGCCAGCGGGGCTGCCGATGAGGCGATATCCTGCAGGTCAGCGGCTGCTGTCTCCATCGCAGTCGCTATCTTGACAGCCAGTTCGAGCGACAGATTGTCACCTTCCTGCAGTAGCCGCTTCAGCATTCCCGGGTTACTTATCCCACACACGAACCGGTCCCGAAGCTGTTCAGTTAGGCGGTCTCCGTAGGCACAGTCTCTGGCAATGCGCCGCAGCTCTGCCAAAAACGCTCCAACTGTTTGTCCGGCTTGCTGCGTGGTACGGTTGAACCGGTACCGTGACACAATTATAGCCGGTCTCGGAGCGAAATGCCGCTGCGCTGCCTCCGCCAACTCTTCGAAAGTTTTCGTGGCTGGCAGATCAGGCGCGAAAATGCTGCGCAGAGTTGAATACACTTTGGGACCACAGACGCTCAGAAACACCGCACGTTTCCTTGTCGCTGACGAGATCGCATTAGCAGCCAAAAACTGCTCAAAACGCTCTAGGTACTCGTTAAAGTCCGAGCCGTCGTCGCCGTACTCACCGACGCTCCCGATAAGGGCCGACGCCATGGTGGTTCCACCACCGCACGGTCTTGCCGAATACCAGATTAGCGCGAATTTAATCAAAAACCCGACTTTCGATAAACTGTTATTTATACCTATCAATGGGTAGGAAATTGTCCGAAGTTATCGGATAGAACCTTATTTTTAAGCCACTTTATCATTTGAGGACTTATATCCCTGCCGAAAGTAGACCCACGCTCCGGTTCCTGAAATCGGGCTATGGTACTGAGAAATATGTCCAGTTTTCAATGTAAATTTTACGGAAGCTTCGAGAAGATATATGAGAAAATAGCATATCACCGGATAGCACAATTCATGATGAAGCTGTTTCTGCTATCATGGTAGCTTTTCAATGAATGGTTTCTGAGTTTAATGAGTTAGAACAGGAGCCCTGCATGTGTATCGTTCTCACAATAGTATTTCATAAAGAAGTTGGAAAATGTCAAAATGGATAAAAATGGATATGACGAATAGGGCATGGCTGAACTCTCCGCACATTTCTGAACATAAGCGAGCAAGTTTCAGCTGCCACTTTTTGCCTATTTGCCGTCAATTCAGCTTTGAACATGTCTAGTCGGCCGCCCGGCGTGACCTGACCAAGGTCGGGGGCGGCGCGGCCGAACAGGCTCCAGCCTAATTAACTATCTCAAGCACACGGAATCGTGATTTCATGCACTCCTTGCAAGGTTCGATGCTTCACTTTTGCATTATTGGCCTTACGTGACGTCATTTATGACGTCACTAGGATAATAAGAGTTTTTCGTCAATAACTCCAGATCAAATTGAGCTAGCGAGTCGGGAAAGCCACCAATGGACTCAGGAAGACCTGCCGAATCGAATGATATGCAACATGACCTCCTTCGACCAACTTCGTGATCTGGGGGGCTCTAACCTGACCTTGACCCGAAGTCAACACCTTAAGTTGACTTCAGCCGAACAAAAAGTATACCATTCGACGCACCTGAGCGAGGCGAACACGATGATTCCAAAATTGTGACTCTGCGGCATTTTTTCGCGAAGTTATTAATAAAAAACGAATCCGTGCCTTGGGCCACTTGACCTGAACTCAGAGGTCACAGGTTAACCTGAGACCTTAAAATCGGATACCAGTTGCTGCGTCTCGTAACGGCACACACGCTCGTTTTTTCCGCGAGGCTCTAGCTTCATCAGGGGCGAAACAGCGACGGGGGTCGTACCCCCCCCCCCTTCGGCCGGCGAAGGGGGGTATTTTGAAAACCAATAGGTCCGGTGAGGGGTAAGCGTCAGTTTTTGAACCAGAGAACCATTTTCAGTGGATCCGAGCGGCGCTGGGATTAAATTCGCGCTAAACTGGTCTTCGGCCACACTGTGCACCGGTCACAGGCATGGCGAGAACGGTCTCAGCCTCGTCGCCACTTGATCTGTCCGTAGATCACCCCCAGCCCGGCCGGCCTCACAGCCGACAAAACACACCTTTCAGTTCTGGGCTCTATTCCCCGACTCACCACGCTCACACCGCTCACACCCGGCGCCCCCCAGCGCTGCGTAGACGACCCCGCACAGTTATACATATCAGACATCACCTTTCGTCGGCAACTGGTTGGCTGGCAGAGGGGCGGGATGGCCGAGAAGAAAACGTCTAGTTTGTAAGCGTGTGGCCTTTGACATGGCTACAGAACATCGCACGATGTGGTAGGACGTAGGGTAAACAATTAGCTTGGATAATAATTAAATCACACTGTTAATTACCTAGTTTTTACCTAATATAAGTTTGGGACCTATCCCGTAAACAAAGATTCAATGACAACTGTTGTCTGCTAGGTTACCTTTAGGTAATGCATTTTGTCATATCAAGATCTTTATATTTTGTTTACACATTTATCTATTAATTCAGTGATTTTACTTTAATTATATTTCAATCAAATCGTAAATTTCTGTAGATGTTTTATTACAAATCTGTTCATAATTACAATTAATATTAAACAAAAATACCAGAATTAAATACCAGCCGCCAGAGGCACTGCTGACCACCAGCGACAACACACCAGTTGCACAGGTGTCACCACAGTCGCATGCTGTTAATGTAGGTGGCGCTGCCATCGAATCAGCTATTTTACAGATATCGGAAACAAACCTCTGGAGCCTCGTTAATTTTGTAATTTAAGTGCTTTCTTTTGGATTTTCGGCATCTGTTGAGTCTCGTACCAAAAAATATCTTTGTCTAACGTGAATCTGTGAGAAAAACCCATCTGTCGACACACCCTAATATATATATATATATATATATATATATATATATATATATATATATATATATATATATATATATATATATATATATATATATATATATATATATATATATATACTCTCAGTTGCGACTAGCCAGGTCCCTGTTCAAATATGCTCTTCGTTTCTGCTTAAAAAATAAAAAAGCACTTAGGGGCTAGGGCCAAGGTGCTGGCGGAGTTCCAGTTTTATAGCCTTGGTGCTGGCAGACAAATTTGCTAATAACCCATGTAACTTGAAGCAGTTTTGGAAGGAAGTTCAAAACAGCAGCCCACCAGTTGCGCAGACTGTGGCAGGTGTAAATGGTGATGTAGACATTGCCGCGATGTGGAAGAATCACTTTTCTGATATGCTGAACAGTGTTCGTGCTGATGGTGCCAAGGAGGATGTTTTAGAACAGCTGCGTGTCGGCAATCCAGCAAAAGATCCTTTTACGGTGCAAGATGTTTTGGAACGGCTGCGTGCTGACAATCCAGCAAAAGATCCTTTTACGGTGCAAGAAGTGCTTGGAGCTATAAATGAGTTAACCCTCGCCCGCACATGCTATTTGCCCATCCTAGAACGCACATGAGGGGGGGGGGGGTTGCCACCCCCGCGCCATATCGTTCCTGTTGGAGATAGAGCTTCGCGGTAAAAAACATAAAAATTCTTTGGGAAAAGACAAATCCAATGATACCCAGTTTTACATTATCAGGGCAGTCATTGACCTTCCAGGTCAGGTCAAACTAAAAAGTGTTGCTGTTTTGGGTCACCGTTGGATATCAAGTGCGCTGCTTATCATATACCGATGACGATGCCGTTTTCTGGTGCCAAGCCAGCTTGAACCTCTTTGTCACACGACCCGATCAGGTTTTTGCTGCTGAGGTCATTTCAGGTCAAGTTAGGTCGATGACTGGGTTTTACGTTAATCAGAAATGGAGAATATCAATCTCGTGCGTGTTCCAAGAATTAGATAAGTTCGATCCAAACGGCCCGAAGTAAAAGATTTAATTTAAAGAGCGCGTTATCATATTTTAAAGTTCCAAAACGAAGTAAAAAACCGAAACAACGAATCATGCAGTGGAGAAACGAAAAGACGAGACGAATAATTCAAGTTTGCCAAGTACGCCCTGCCTAATCTAGAAGTTCTAAATCCCGGACAAAACGGGCCTAACGGAGCCAGACGTGACGCGTCTGATCCGGTCAAGAGCCCGTCCTAGAATGCCGTGGGAATGCGCGGCCGACGCAGCGGATGGGACTTGTAGCAGTTGTGCTGTTGAAGGACATGTCATTTGTATCATGTATTGATAAAAACGTGACGTTTTTGTTATTTGCTTTCTAGTTCTCTGTAATTGAAGTTTTTTCTCACTTATATAATCATTTTGTGTTCTATTTAATGCTATCTGAGTGATCCGTTGTCATTGTCTGCTGGGTATATGTTTCTGGCTTGAGTGCACAAGTCAGTTGGGACCCATTTTGCACGTGCGCACGTGCAGGGTGCCGCTTCCAGATCTCGAGAATGGCTGGGCCGATTGTGCTCAAATTTGGCACATCACTAGAGACCGGTTAGTAGGGTGCCGTGCACAAGTCAGTTGGAGGTACCCCATCGAAATTTCGCACGTGCAAGGCTCACCCTCTCGCTCGCTCCGTCAGTTGCCCCAAAAGGCGTTTTACTGGTACGCATATCCGTGGTGTATTTCGATGATAAATGGGCTTTTTACAGAGTGAAGCATCTACAATTCACACATCATTTGGCTTTAGCACTTGCCATCTGGAATGCTTTCAAGGGCACCCTGCAAAACATTTATCCCAGATTCATTAGAAAGTAGATACGCAGTACTGCGGCCGGATCGGCGCCCGAGGCCCGAAGTGCCCGCCGACGATGTCGCTGCCTAATGCATGTCTAATGCCTGCTGACTGGTACTCGTCCCGCAGCCGTGACTGGGTCAGACCCGGAGCTGCATCGAAACACGCGCCACACACCCACCTAGGAAGGCAGCTACTGATGAGTCATCCTAAAGTAGTCATCAGGCGAATACTCGAACAACTCAAAATCGAACCGATACTTTTCGTACAACTTTCTCGCCTGGTCCAGAGTAATTGTGGAAAAATATCTTTCCGCCACGGTTTTAGTGGGTTTTCCCTTTGTCATGTGTCGCCATTTGGCTTTGATCAGATGATCAACGGCTCCCATTTTCAAAATATACTCCTGATCTTGTCTCAGAGTCTCGAACTTTGCGACGGCGTGATAGCGAACGTTGCACGGCGTACAGAACAGATAGTAGGGAATCCAGTGGTCGTCGGCGTAGTTTGCCAGGTCGGTGTCGATCAGATACTGCACGAACTCGGCGAAGGTGGGCTCGATGCCCAGCGGCGGCACGCGCTCGTCATCGCCGTGGCCCGGCTGGAAGGCCACCCGGTTGATGACCTCCCTCATGACGTTGAGCGCGTCCCAGCCGCGGCCCAGCGCGCCCGAACCCTTCCGGCGGTACTTTTCCACGATGCGTCGGCCGTACTTTTTGTAGAAGTGCTCGGTGCCGTGCTCCAGGCCGACTCGGATGTTCTCCAGTTTGTCGCGGTAGGCCGATATTAGTCGCTCAAACGGGTGGCGCACCACCAGGAACAGAAACGAGTCGTTCATCGCCTGCAAACACAACGGAAACGAGTCGTTCATCGCCTGCAAACACAACGGAAACGAGTCGTTCATCGCCTGCAAACACAACGGAAACGAGTCGTTCATCGCCTGCAAACACAACGGAAACGAGTCGTTCATCGTCTGAAATCCCGACAGTGCTGCCATCAGTGGCTGCCTAACTCAGTCTGGGCTGGGCTACAGCCGACAGTGCTGCCATCAGTGGCTGGCTGACTCAGTCTGGGCTGGGCTACAGCCAGCGAATAGGCCAGGGGAGAGAATTTAAGCCCGTGTCAAGATCTTAAAACCAAAACCTGGATTAAAAAAAATCACAAACACTTAACCCGCGCCGGGCCGGTGCTCCGAGACTTCCGCGCCGGGCCGGGGGTGTCTAAACACCCCCTTTTAACTCGGCTCCTGAGCCATGTAGCGACACGCAGTAAGCGGCAAGCGAAAGAACGTCCAAAATAAGGACGAAAACACCTCGGCCATTTTTGGGTCAGGTCAAAGGTCAGGTCACCAGAGGATACCAAAGGTAAAATGTTGGCTATTTCAACATTTTGGAAATTGCCAACGGTTAACTCGGGAACCCGCATTCGATAGCTCTTTTAGCGTTCTTTCGCTAACATGTCCTGAGATTTGACCTCAGCTCAACGATTTAGCCTCCAGAGGGCAAAAATTCCAAAAAAAAAAACGTTTTACGAGAAGTGCTTTTTCGGCAATAACTTTTGACTCCAAAGAGCCACGACATTACTTTTGCCGGCATCGTGTTCCTCTCGTCGAGACGCTTCGAATAAACTATAATTTGACCTTGAAAGGTCAACTTGAAAATTTGACCTCAGGTCTAGGTCATGACCCGACCGGAAAAGGTCATGTTGCATATCAGTCAATCCGCATCGTCGAGCCGAACACATCTAAGGTGTTTGCATCGCTTTAGCATGCCTCTATCAGAAGGTATTAGCGAAAAACTGTTAGATACTATTCGTGACCTGAAATGACCTCGGGGACATAACGAGGGGTCACAGGTGCCATTTTCCGGTTCAGGGTGTCAATTTTACTTGCATCCCGATGTTTGAGATTGTCTAGAACAGCGTTCGTGCAAAAGAGACGCTTTTCAATTTTCTCCCCATTGACTTACATATACCTATTGGAGAGGCCGCAATATTGACCTGACCTTAGGTCACCGATTTCAAAATTTTGAGATAAAAGTTTTATAGACACTGTTACTCTTATCAATCGCTGAAAGTTTTTCAAGGCACTCGTTCTCTCGGTGTAGCTATGACGAGCATTCTAATTTTTTTCTGAGGTGAGGTCACTTGACGTGACCTGGTGACCTGACCTTAAGCGACCTGGGTCTGAAATTTTCACAACATGTGCGGAAAAGATGCACAAACAGGTGTGCCAAAACGGTGGCGCGGAGCGGCGCCGCTTTTGATATATCTGCGAAAAACCGCAGGGGGGGGGTGTTCAAACACCCCCCCCCGGCCCGGCGCGGGTTAAAATAGATAGAAGTCGTTGAGGTGAAAAGCCTGATTGAAAAACGTTTCGATACAAAATGAGACCAAAAACCTCCGCGTTGTCTCACGCGGCACACGACGCTGCACTCTGGCCAGCCCTATCAGAATGCAGTAACAACGGCGAGCGAGTGATCGCAGCCACATGCTGCTCCAACGTCAGGCATGCATCGATGTTGACGCCCAGGACCCTCGCCAACTTCACAGGCACGATTTCCGACTCGCCGAATTTGATCGTAAAGTTAACATTGTCATTTTGGCGTGAGGATCTCAAGATAAGCAGTTTGGTCTTCGATGGGTTTAACTTTAGCCTACTTTGCGTGAACCAGCAGAGAGCTACAGACAGGGTTTGTTCTACGCGGCGTTTAAGCTCTGACAGGTTTCTTGGCGTGTCTGAGTCTAAAAACTGGGCATCATCGGCGTACATAACAAGCCTCCCATGCGGCACGTGTTGTGATAAGTCATTGGAGAACACCAGGAACAACGCTGGGCCCATTATGCTGCCCTGCACCACCCCATGCGTCACCGGCAACTCAGCACCCGATCTCCCTCTTACTGCGTGCGGTCAGAGAGCCACGCACCGAACCACCGGTATCAATACCGTACCACCCCAGCTTTTCCAAAAGGTGACCATGCTCGACGCTGTCAAACGCCTCGGAGGTGTCAGCAGTGACGAGTGACGTCACGCGCCCTCCGTCGATGTTGTCGGTGATGTGACCGACAGCATCGAGCAGGGCCGCCTCCGTGGATTGGCCGGGGCGGAACCCGTACTGCTGCGCACAGAGGATATGATGACCGGTTAGATAGTCCATCAGCTCGATGCACACGACACGTTCATAGAGTTTAGCGACTGGCACAGACTTCACTGATATAGGTCTGTAGTTGCTGGCGCTGTTCGTTATCGCCACTCTTGTGTATGGGGACAACGATAGCAGCTCTCCATGACGGTGGCAACTCGGCGCGGGTGATGCTGCTGTTGATGACGTGAAGGATGTGCGGTCCGATCACGGGGAAGGCCATTTGCAGCATGGCGATGGTGATGCCGTCATCTCCGCAAGCTTTGGACGGGCTCATGCGCTGGAGTGCCGCGGACAGCTCCGGGAGAGTCGCCGGCCGGGGGCTGAAGGCGCCGCTGATGACTCGTGGCGGGCGTGGCCTGAGCATCTCTCCGGTGTCCGCAGCTGCCAGCTCCTCTGCGACTGTCGAGCCCACGTCCGCAAAGTACCGGTTCAGCCGGTCCAGCCAGCCGGGTTGATGGTCTGCTGGGCTGTGAGAATTCGGCTGGGGCTTGCTGGAGGAGACGAGGAATCGTCGAATATTCTTCCATGTGGTGAACCTGGGTTGCCTGTAGAAGGATAGAAAATACTGAGAGCAGGCGCGGCGCTTGGAAGCCTTCACTGCGTTGCGTTTGATCCGAAACTCGTGCTCTGTCTCCTCACACGGCGTCCTCTCCTTGTCCAGGCGTGCCGCGTCTCTCGCCTCCATCGCAGCTGCAACGTCCTCATCGTGAAGCCACGGCTGCGGCTGGTGGCGAGTCCTGATCTGCCGGACGGGCATGTGCCGATCAATCAGCGGCGTCCAGGCTGACCTCTAGGCGTACCACTTGGCTGCCACCGTCTCCGCCTGGTAAACGGGGATCCAGTCGGCCTGCAGCAGGTCCAGACACAGGGCGTCCTGGCTCAGGTGGCGGGTCGACCTGATGGTGATGGTCCTCGGCTGATGTCGACTCTTCACGCCAGCGACTGACGCGGAGATCAGGTCGTGGTCACTGATGTTGGACACCACAACACGTGGATCGGAGACGAGGTCGGGCCTGTTGGCGATCAGGTGGTCGATGAGACTAGGCTTAGGTCCAGACCGGGTGGGTGTCGTAATCAGCTGATGTAGCGAGAAGTCATGGAGCAGCTGGCCATACTGTCTGACCCCCGTCTTGGGTGGCTGGTTGATATCGGAATTCGTGTCGCCTATGCTATCATAGACCGGCTTCTCCTTGGAGATGACATAAGCCAGCTGATCGTGCAGGCCCTCGATGACTGGAGCCACAGGTCCCGACGACGGCCGATAGATGGCGCCAAAGATGCTCTGACGTCGGCCGGTCAGCCGAATCCATACGGTCTCCAGGGCCGAGCCGGCGGACGGCACGGTCAGCAGCTCCGTGGACAGGCTACTGCGGTGGGGAATGGCCACGCCACCTCCGCTGCGCCCCCGTATGTCCTTCCGGGTGACGGTGTATCCTGGGAACACAAGTGCGCAACTATCCATAGCCTCCGCCAGCCAGGTCTCGCTCAGGCACAGCACGTCCAGCTTCTCGGTAAGCAGCAGATGATTGACGTCATTGAGAATTGAGATGTCTACTCCTTGTCTAGCCAGGGACCTCACGTTCAGGTGGGCGACCTTCAGCTGAGACGTTGGCGCAGGGGTCGGCCTGTTGCGGTCGGCCTGTATCGTCTGGCGGAGCGTCAGGCGCGGCGGCCGAGAGAGACAGCGGCGCTCGTCACGTCCAGCCTCAGTCCTCAGTCTCTGTTGGTGCGCTCAGCGGGTGGTGACGATAACGTCGATCGATCGGTGTGACCTTCGGCCGGCTCGCGTTCCGCGGTACTGGTACTGGTACTGGTATTTTTGGCTTACGGGCCACCACAGCGTCCTGTATTTGGGCCCGGTTCTGTCGTCCGTCTTCGTTGTTGGTCCGTCCGTTGTCTTGCAGTACCTTTCTTTACAAAGCACGCCGCTAAAACATGCTCTATTACGCTATTACGCGTTCCGCGGTGACAGCGACGACTCTTTATATCTACGGCGGCTCGGGCGACGACGTAGCCCGAGCCGCCGCAGCAGCGCCACCGTGTCCGGTGGCGGCCGCACGAAGCTGGAGTAGCGCTGCTCTCGTGTAGGTGGCGCCCCATTCCTGCCTCACTCTCGCGGTCGGCGGCCGCTTCTGCCCGGCCGGATCACGTGACCCGAGCGGGTGACCGCAAGCCTCCAGCGGTCGCATGGCTGCCCTCGGGCCGAGTTCAAGGTCACTTGGCCAGCCGCAGTGCCGATGCTGGGCCCTGTTTCACCGCCTGACGCTGCGCGCGCTGCAGCGCGCTGGGAGCTGAGGCATACCTACCCCAGACCCCTGGACCCTGTTTCACGGCGGAGCGCTGCAGTGCGCTGCGCGCGTCGGCGCGTTAGGTTTCCATTAGATATGTTAATCGGATGCCAACCTTTTGGTATACCGATACCAAACCGATACCAACTTGGTATTTGGTATTTCAGTCCTACTATATTTGATATTTTTTGGTATTATGAACCCTCACTTATGTATAAGAGGCTGAGAAATTGGTATAAATTTGGTATTTGCCTCATGTTCCAAGGTTGGTTCGGTTTCGGTATTTCCTCACGGTTTTGGTTGGTAGTTGGTTTGGTATCGGTATTCCGATTTTTTGTAATTGACATCACTAGTTTCCATGGCAATATCAACAAACTTCCCTCTGACGCTACGCTATGACGTCATCGCAAAACGCTAGCACCGCGGCGCCAGCACCATCCGCACGCCAGCAGTACCTATTCGCACTCAAACTTCGGTTCAATTGGTACTAGGTTTTTCAAGGTCTCGGTTCCAAACGCGATTTACCATAAGCCAACGGATCGCACGCAACGTCATTCGAGTGACGTCAGGGGTATGCCTCAGCTCCCAGCGCGCTGCAGCGCGCGCAGCGTCGGGCGGTGAAACAGGGCCCTCACGTCACTCGAATGACGTTGCGTGCGATCCGTTAGCTTATGATGAATCGTAAGCTATTTGGAATTTGGAACAGAGGTCTTAAGGGACCAAGTACAGAGAGAACAGAGGTTTGAGTGCGAATGCTGCTAGCGTGCTGATGGCGCTGGCGCTGGGGTGCTAGCGTTTTACGATGACGTCATAGCGTAGCGTCAGAGTGGAGTTTGTTGACATTGCCATGGAAACCCAACGCACCTACGCGCGCAGCGCTCTGCCGTGAAACACCGTCCTGGTGAAATCGTAAACAAACCCCGCGTTCGATGTCTCGGACGACGAAGATTTTACGTCGTCCGGCCAATCCCGATCAAGGTCAGCGGGGGCTCGGCTGCCGTTATGGAACGTGATTGGCCGGACGACGTAGAATCTTCGTCGTCCGAGAGACATCGAACGCGGGGAAAGTCGGTCAGCGGCGCCGATGGCGGCGCACCAGCACCGGACACATCAGAGGTCAGTGCCACGCACAGAGTCACAACTGCCGGCACTGCAGTACACCAACACTTGGTAAAAGCCGTCAGACACAGTTATAAGCCACTTAAAAACACTGACTAGAATTAGAGCTATTAAAAACGGCGAAAAAAAAACACGCAGCGCAGTGCGCACATCACGCACATGCGCAGCGAAGCCAGCGCCACCTACCCACTCCTGGAGCAAACAACTGTTTTTATCATGTTTGAGGTTCAACAAAGAGCAGAATCATATGTAAACTGTAAAGGAATCCTCCCACCTTCAAAAAGTTAATGAATTGGCATAAAAGTAGTGTCACACGGTTCAAAATGAGCAAAAAATGAATAGATCTACCAAATTCAATTGAAAAATATTAACAGGTTTTTGAGATATTAGATAATTACTTTTGCTTATTTTTTTTCGTAGCCTTCGCTGTTCCTACGACGTCATTTGGAAGCTTTGTTTTAGTATCTTACGTTTTATGTTTTAGTTTATGTGAATGTTTTAGTTGCTTAAAAGTGCGGCAGATGTTGCGCGCAAACAGCATATACTACCACTGCTTCACAAAGATGTTAGTACAAAATTTAAATATCGCTAGATCTGGGCTGACGTCACAAATTCAGAGAAGGCATTCAAATAGGGTTAGGGCGGGTAAGAGGAAGCAGGCGACAAGAGTACGCAGCAGCTATTTCGGTTGCTTAGCAACGCCTCATCAGCGTCATCTCGAGTCCTAAGGAAGCTGTCTCTCACGCGGCTTCGATGGTGGAAGGTGGGCGCGCTACGGGTTCACTTGTCTTTTGTAGAGGCTTAGACGTGTTTTTCACATCGCTTTTAGACTTTTTGGGGTGCAGGAAAAGGTGTGACCTTCCTCAGGGAGCGGCAATAGAATTTTCATTTTTTCCTATCAAGATACCACGGGGAATCTGTGTGTGTGTCAAGTCCCAATTGTTTACGCGACGACTGTGGCGCCAGCTCTCAGCCCGCTTTGTGTCTACCGTATGTGTCGGCCATGAGTACGCATTGCCGTGGCGGACAAGAGTACGCAGTTTTCCGAGTGCGTGGTTGTGTTGCATTAATCAACTTAGTGCATCAGGCGCGCAACCCCTCAGCAGATTCACGGGATTGGCCAACAAGGTGGATGGCACTCGGGGGGACGCCGAGCAGTTGGGGAAACCACGAAGAGCATCACTGTTTCTGGTAGACCAGGGGGCATTTGCACGACCACAGCGGGGCGCCTCGACTCTGTTTAGAGTGACCGTTTTAGTGGCTGCGGCAATAAAGATAACAACAGTTTAATTACTTGCATGAATGCATTGATTCCAGCGAGTAGGAATGCATACACGTAGTGCGTACTCCACCCGCACGAAGTGCGTACTCTTGTACTGCCTATCGGGCAAGAGTACGCAAATGCAGGGTGTTAGAAAATTGCTTACGGTCACGCTTTAAATTGGACGTAGGCCGCTGTGGTCATGACAGTTTGTGGACAAATGATCAGGCTTTATCGGAATATACTGATCGTAGCCGTAAACCAAAACCGAACGGCGTGAGACGACAAAATGCATTAGGTGCGTACTCTTGTACGGTCCTCCCCTACATTAGCCCCTCTGAATATTAAGTGCTTTGGTGCAGAGCTGGGCAAGTGCGTTCCTTTAGTGCGTTCCTGCGTTCTTCCGTACGTACGCACCGCCCTTTTTAGGAACGCAAGAACGCAGGAACGCAAAGTTTTTCAAAGGAACGCAAGTAAGAGGAACGCACCACCCTAAATTTTGAAGCGTTCCTGCGTTCTTGCGGAACCACCCGAAAAATTATATTGCTGGCAATGACCTCTGTGTCAAATGTTTGAATCTCGAGTACATGTGTTTGCCGGTAGAGGCGCCACTTGTCGGTCGAATCGAGGAAGGCTTGCTTAGATTTAGTGGTGATGTTTACTATTCGATTCGGTTTCAGGCATTAAATGTGTAAAGAAATATGATAACTTTTACTTAGATACATCTTTCAACTTAACTATTATTTTTAAGCAGGTCGTATTTTTCCGTAAGCAGCCGGTCCCGTAGCTCAGTTGGTAGAGCGTTGGACTCCGCGTGGTGAGAGCACGCGTTCCCGGTTACAACAGTCCGGGTTCGAAGCGCGACGGGCGCTTGACATTTATGGGCCTCCTGACAGGTATGGTTGCCGTTGGTGGCAGGCCGTAGCCAGGCGAACTCAGTGAGGGGACCGGCCGTGCGCGGCTATGTGCGCACGTTAAACTTTGGACTCTAAATTCTCTCATAGAACTGGAATTGCGCGATCGGAGGGTAGAGGGCAGGGTCACCGCAACAAGCTTCGCTTAGCGGTGGCTCTGTCCTTGTGAATCCTTCCCATCAAAAGGTTCGGACTAAATTTATATTTAAAAAAAATTGTTGAAAACCCTACGGATGATATTGGTAAAACGTATTTCAGATATTCGATTCGGAAAAGAGATGTCGAGTTGCTTTTCGGCCCCGTGTCGCCATTCTGGGTATTCTGTGATCGATTCGCCCCGTGTTTGGTTGGGCCCGCGCCGCGTGGTTCGGCGGTATTTCTTTGTCCACGACTTCGGTTGTGAAGAACACGTCTGTAGTGTTGGACTGGCGCAATATGCCTACCTTGTCCGCTACAGTGTTGCGTTGCACTGATTTTGGTATGATTTGCTGCTTGGTAGAGCCAGAATACAATACGGGTTAATAGTTTGGGACGCAGGAACGCAGGAACGCTAAACCACCGAGCGAAAAAAATTGAGGAACGCTATTCCAGGAACGCACTAACCGCGGCCGGAGGAACGCAGGAACGCTAACGCACTACCGAAAATCGAGGAACGCGCCCAGCTCTGCTTTGGTGCAATCGCCCTATAACCCGTCGTGAAAACGACTAATATATTTTACGCCCCCCCCCCCCCCTGACGAATATTTGCGATAGCTCCCGAGCGCTATGCAATAGACACGCCAAACATTCAGTGCCTTTTCCCCCATCAATTTCACATCTGGAGTGAAAAAGTATTGGCTAGTCCTCTTGATGACGTCAGATTGATTTATAGCTAAGTTGAATCAGTGACCCTTCGAACCTGTCTGAGACCCCTCTGGTCTGCCTGGCATTGTCTGTGCTGCCTCTGACCTGCCTGTGCTGCCTCTGACCTGCCTGTGACCGCTCTGACCTGCCTGTGACCGCTCTGACCTGCCTGTGCTGCCTCTGACCTGTCTGTGCTGCCTCTGACCTGTCTGTGCTGCCTCTGACCTGTCTGTGCTGCCTCTGACCTGCCTGTGACCGCTCTGACGTGTCTGTGCTGCCTCTGGCCTGTCTGTGCTGCCCCTGACCTGTCTGTGACCGCTCTGACCTGTCTGTGACCGCTCTGACCTGTCTGTGACCGCTCTGACCTGTCTGTGTTCGCTCTGACCTGTCTGTGACCGCTCTGACCTGCCTGTGCTGCCTCTAACCTGTCTGTGCTGCCTCTGACCTGTCTGTGACCGCTCTGACCTGTCTGTGACCGCTCTGACCTGCCTGTGCTGCCTCTAACCTGTCTGTGCTGCCTCTGACCTGTCTGTGACCGCTCTGACCTGTCTGTGACCGCTCTGACCTGTCTGTGACCGCTCTGACCTGTCTGTGACCGCTCTGACCTGTCTGTGACCGCTCTGACCTGTCTGTGACCGCTCTGACCTGTCTGTGACCGCTCTGACCTGTCTGTGCTGCCTCTGACCTGCCTGTGACCGCTCTGACCTGTCTGTGCTGCCTGTGACCTGTCTGTGACCGCTCTGACCTGTCTGTGACCGCGCTCTGACCTGTCTGTGACCGCTCTGACCTGTCTGTGACCGCTCTGACCTGTCTGGCGCCGTCGAACTCCAGCTCCGGGGTGACGGAGCGGCTGATGTCGCTGATCTGGCGGGCACTGCGCGCGATCTGCTCCTCCGTGTAGCCGCCGAGCAGGGCAAAGTTGTACAGCCACGAGGTGGAGCCGGACTTGTACAGTGGGCAATAGCCCAGCTTGTACTTTCTGCAGACAGACGTTTTCGCTTCAGTTGTGAGATGCAACTCATTAGGTACGCATTATATGCAAAAAGGTGCTCACATCAAGTTAGTGGAACAAACGTGCGATACAGATACTTTCCTTCACATAGAAAAACATTGAAAAATCCAAGTTTCCACTGAAGGATCCAAAGGGATCGGGCATTGTCATTGTATTGCACGGAGTTTTGTCCGTGTACGGGGACCCGCAGCTGCTACTGTACACGAACCCCAAGTCTAATCGTCTGCCCTGTCCAGTAACAACCGATAACATTGACATCGACTGCCGGCCCTTATACAAGAGCAGCTGAGGTTTTCTGTGCATGTACTCTGAAAGCTTATCGTTGTTCCCTGTGGGGATGCTGGGACAATTTACTCAGGGTCGCTGTACAGTAGCAACTGCGGGTCCCCGTACACCCTCACCCCGGGTACACCCTCACCCCGGGTACACCCTCACCCCGGGTACATCCTCACCCCGGGTACACCCTCGCCCCGGGTACATCCTCACCCCGGGTACACCCTCGCCCCGGGTACACCCCCACCCCGGGTACCCCCTCACCCCGTGTACACCCTCACCCCGGGTACACCCTCACCCCGGGTACCCCCTCACCTGTTGAAGTACCACACCCCGTACTGCGGGGAGGGCGGGTACGGCGCTATGTCCGGGTACACGCCCGGCTCCTGCCACAGGCCCAGCTTGTGTTTCTTACAGACCGTGGCCAGGTGATCAACACGGGAGAGCATGGTGTCATCCACCTCCGCCTGACGACAGCGCAGCCACACTGATAACAGCGCAGACACGGTATACTGGTGTGGGTGACAACACTGTGAGAACAACGCAGACACGGTATAATGCTGTGGGTGACACTGTGAGGGCAGCGCAGACACGATATACTGGTGTGGGTGACACTGTGAAGTGTGAGGACAGCGCAGACACGGTATACTGGTGTGTGTGACACTGTGAGGACAGCGCGGACTTTGTGAGGGCAGCGCAGACACTGTGAGCACAGTGCAGACACGGTATACTGGCGTGGGTGACACTGTGAGGACAGCGCAGACACGGTATACTGGTGTGGGTGACACTGTGAGGACAGCGCAGGATAGGTACCAAAACATTCGCTTGTTTCCGTCTTGTCCCTATCATGTCCTATCATTTCACATTCTTGGCTATGCAACTATTAGATGCATACGAGGGGAAGCCGCTATCTTGTAAGGCAAATGGATTCAAATGTATGCACCATTATTTATCATTACATTTATCGAATGGAACCAAGCATATTACATACTAAACTCTGTATGTAAGCGTAGTTGACGTATATTACTATTGGTCAGGCAAAAACAATCCCATTTAACACGCGCTCAATTTGAGGAACCGAAAAAACCCATGTCCGTAGTACTAAATGTGTTGAGTAGTGTGTGGTAATTTGAACATATTTTTACGTCTTCTGCGTCGTACCAAATCCAGCTCAACCCTGGATGAAGAAAAACTGTTTCAGTAGCACACGTGTCACTTGCTTTCACCATGCAAGCCTCAGTTTTGGACGAGCCGAGCATACCTTGAATAGCATAGCCTCACTTCTCAACCAAGTCACGGTGTGTTCAAATTGCCCCACTGTGGGCTAATTTGAACATACTGCCTTTACCTGCCATAAAAACGATAGTCTCGCCAGCTCCGATGTTGTTTGACCCATAAACGAATAGGCAGAACAATTCTAAACATGCCCTCATTTGAAAAAAAAAAACAGTTGCAGAGTATCAATATCTGCACGCTGCACACCGGTCAGTTGTCAGAATTCGTCTCTCTTCAATTAACAGAACGTCTATCATTTAGGTATGTTCGATAAAAACTATCCCAACCTTATAGGTACTATACATCCGTTATAGTGGTGCGAATTGGAACCTGGACATTCGGAGTTCCTATTTTGTCCAATGTCTAATTCGAAATTGGATGGACAAAGGTGGACCAATTTCGGATGGACAAATTGGGTGGACTGGAAAACATTAAACGATGGCCTGCTACACTTAAGCATGTTTATAAAGTAATCGTGCATAGCATTGATTGGCGAATGGAAAGCTTGTCAAGCTCTCAGTATAGGTAATGAACACTTTTCGGATGGCAAGATTACATTATAAGCAAATTAAATGACAGTTTTGAGTGTTGAGTACTGCGTAATTTTCGGACATAATTGGACAAATGGCTGACTGCAACATTTTTAGGCGGAAAATCAACGAAAATGCCGGACATTAGATGGATATTGGACGAAAATTTTCTAAAACTTGATCACTTATCTGCTACTGCCTTGGCCCACCCGGGGTCAAAATATTGGGGGAAATATGGGAGCATTGTTTTTTTTCGGAGCTATGCCTGTCTTCATTGAAATTCTCACACTTTGTTCAAATTACCCCACGCTAAAAGTTATTTTGCCATGTTTAAAAACAGGTTTCAAAAGCAAATTTATTGGATTGAAGGCACTGATTAGGTCATTGTACAACAAAAGCCGTTGCTTATTAAGCGCTAGCAATGTAAGATTTTGCGCTGCAATGAAGTTGCAATGACGTGTTGTTGGGCGTTTTTACTTGCGAAATTGATTTTTTAACAGTGCGTCAACAGCTTCATTCCCTGAAACTTTAAATCCCGTTCAAATGAGAGCCGTTTTAGTTACGATAATTCCCCTCATTGGTCTTATTGTCTTGCCACTTATGGATTTTCCGTAATTTTGTATTATTCACACTATGTTCAAATTGCCCCACATGTTCAAATTACCCCACCCTACCCTAGGTACTAAGTACTAAGTAGGCATACCCAAGGCCATAAATGGTATACCTCCTGTGCTGGTGGCGCGGCACTAGGTACTCGACTCCATGTAAAAGTGGTATTTGACTCCATGTGAAGGTATCACCTGACTCCATGTGTAGGTGCCCGTCAGTACCTGACTCCATGTGTACTGGTGTCCGGCAGTACCTGCGCCTCCATGATGTGAAGGTGTCCGTCAGTACCTGCGCCTCCATGATGTGAAGGTGTCCGCCAGTACCTGACTCCATGTGAAGGTGTCCGCCAGTACCTGACTCCATGTGAAGGTGTCCGGTGTGGGGCCGGTGCGGCGCGCGGCCGGCCGCGGCCGTCTGGAGACCAGCGGCGCGGGCAGCAGGTCCAGGCTGATGAGCAGGGTCAGCAGCAGGCAGGCGGCCAGGCCGGCGCACAGTGTGGCCGGACACCAGTTTAGCGCGAATTTAATCCCAGCGCCGCTCGGATCCACGGGAAATGGTTCTCTGGTTCCAAAACTGACACTTACCCCTCGCATGCCCCTCGCCGGACTTATTGGTTTTCAAAATACGCGCCGGCCGAAGGGGGGGGGGGGTTGGTACGACCCCCGTCGCTGTTTCGCCCCTGATGGAGCTAGAGCCCCGCGGAAAAAACGAGCGTGTGCGCCGTTACGAGACGCAGCGACTGGTATCCGATTTTAAGGTCTCAGGCCAACCTGTGACCTCTGAGGTCAGGTCAAGTGACCCAGGCCCGGATTCATTTTTTATTAATAATTTCGCGAAAAAATGCCGCAGAGCCGCAATTTTGGTATCATCATGTTCGCCTCACTCAGGCGCGTCGAATGGTATACCTTTTGTTCGGCTGAAGTTAACTTAAGGTGTTGACCGTGGGTCAAGGTCAGGTCAGAGTCCTCCAGATCACGAAGTTGGTTGAAGGAGGTCATGTTGCATATCATTCGATTCGGCAAGTCTTCCTGAGTCCATTGGTGGCTTTCTCGACTCGCTAGCTCAATTTAATCGGGAGTTATTGAGGAAAAACTCTTATTACCCTAGTGACGTCATAAATGACGTCACGTAAGACCAACAATGCATAAGTGAAGCATCGGACCTTGCAAGGAGTGCATGAAATCACGATTTCGTGTGCTTGAGATAGTTTATTAGGCTGGAGCCTGTCCGGCCGCGCCGCCCCCGACCTTGGTCAGGTCACATAGGGCGGCCGACTAGACATGTTCAAAGCTGAGTTGACGGCAAATAGGCAAAAACTGGCAGCTGAAACTTGCTCGCTCATGTTCAGAAAGGTGCGGAGAGTTCAGCCATGCCCTATTCGTCATATCCATTTTTATCCATTTTGACATTTTTCAACTTCTTTATTAAATACTATCGTGAGAACGATACACATGCAGGGCTCTTGTTCTAACTCATTAAACTCAAAAACCATTCATTGAAAAGCTACCATGATAGCAGAAACAGCTTCATCATGAATTGTGCTATCCGGTGATATGCTATTTTCTCATATATCTTCTCGAAACTTTCGTAAAATTAACGTTGAAAACTGGATATATTTATCAGTACCATAGCCCGATTTTAGGAACCGGAGCGTGGGTCTGCTTTCGGCAGGGATATAAGTCCTCAAATGGTAAAGTGGCTTAAAAATAAGGTTCTATCCGATAGCTTCAGACAATTTCCTACCCACTGATAGGTATAAATAACAGTTTATCGAAAGTCGGGTTTTTGATTAAATTCGCGCTAATCTGGTATTCGGCAAGACCGCCGCGGCGGTCAGCAGCCGGCCCAGGCGCCGGCGTGGCCGTCGGCACGCCATGGCGCCCCGGGCCTGACGGACGGCAAACGGGGCGTCATCCCGGGCGGAACACCACCGGCCTCCTCCCGCTGCCAGCCAGGGAGCTAGATACAAACGACCAACAGGCAGGCATTGCATCACCAGTCCAGGCCATTCCGACTTCCGAGTGATGAGCCAAGCGCCCTTATGCGAATACAGGTGTACATAGGGTGAATAGTAGGGTGTGTCATATCTAATATTTTTGTCTCAGATCAAGCGCTTCGCTTCGCTTCCACGGATATTCCTTGTCCCTGGGTTCATTGAAGCCCATTGGCACTGTTCTTTTTTCGCTGCACCGAAAATTCAGGCGGCGCGGGCCCAATCAATTTCGACATTTCCCGTGGCGCCCGGCGTTGAAGTCTCCATACTGAACGCAATGCGTACCGTAGCGCTAACACCAGCGATATGACTCGCCGTTGGCCTGTACCGGCCAACACCGTTTGGCGGTTAAAATTCGATTGCTATTCTTGTTTAAATGAACGTCGGACGAAACATACTTTTATATTAATGTGTTGAGGCCGTTTAGGAACCCACAGATGATCCCTGTAATAGAATCACGCAGTAGCCTTGGCAAGACTATCCCGAGAGGGGGAGGGAGAATGAGAGCACGGATGGACAGAGGGCAACGTGAGCGGGGTCCCGGGTATCACCCCTCCGTCGGCAACACAATGTATCGGCTTTCGAGGCACGTGCTGTCTCCCTGAGGCACACGAGCTTGCGAAGATAGACCGACGGGTCGGCGACCGGCGGCGCTGGAGTCCTCATCGAGCACCCAGACGGGACTACAGAAGAACTGCGAGAGAAGGCGGGGAGGTTATGTTCCAGCTACCGGCTGAGATGGTGGCACTCAAGACGGCAGTGCAACATCTCCTGGGACGCCCGCCCCTCGAGCGCGGCATAATCATCTGCTCCGACTCGCAGGCGTCGCTGGCGACGCTGAGGGGCGGCCCAGCGGCCCAGAAGTCCCCCTAGGTGCCGCCATCTGGAAGCATATGGCATTGGCGGCCCTAGTAGTGGGTGGGAACCGAAGAGTCCACCTCCAATGGGTGCCGTCCCACTGCGAGCTGGAGGGATTTGACGCCATCGCCAAGGATGGCGTCATCGCCGTGCGGCGTCCCGGATGGCCAGAAAGGAGGCGACCAACAATTGGCCGGACGGCTGGTACAAGCGGCTGATGGACGGCCACCTACCCGCACCGCTACCCAGCACGACACCACGTGACTGTAACAGTCGAGGTGCACCAACTGCGCGCTGGTCACTGGTCGGGATCCGCGCAGTACCTGCATCGAATCGGCAGGAACCCCAGTCGGGACTGCGCACGCCGCACAGTGCAGCTCGCTGACGTGCCGGGCGGCCGGCTGTCGCTGCTGCAATGAAGGGGAAGCAGACACGCCGGAACACATTCTGCTCCGCTGTCCGGCACTGATGCGTCTCCGCCTGAGACACCTGGGCAACATACTCCCGAGGGAGGAGGAAGTACGGAGCAGCGGTGTGGTGGCGGCCCTGGGGGCCGCCGCCAGATACCTCCAGAGCCGAGAGGCTACGCAGCGCCTACTACGTGGGGAAACAACAACAACAACAACAGCTTGCGAAGAACGTGGGTCAGTCTGGTTTCAGCTGCGGGGTGAGCGGAAATGCGTGTGGCGCAATCGAATCGGACAATCCGTGCCGCAGTGATGCCATTGCGAAGCACGGCGAAACATTTTGTTATCGGGTCTCCCAGTGTGCTGCCGGTAAACCAGCTGCCTACAAACAGAGATGTACACTGAGAAAAAAAATTATTCCCCAGGGGTGTTTTACGGGTGTCAGACACCATTGGAGGTGTCATCGAACACCCAGATTGGTGTTGAAAAATGCTGTTTAGGGAATCATTAAGGTGTACAACACCACGATGACACCCTTTCAAGTGTTCGTTCGTATGCGAGCGTTTAGATATACCTTAATGGAATTCAGCATGACACCTTAATAGGTGTCCGACACCCACACCCATCCGGGTATCAAACACTCTAAGGTATCAAACACCCTAAAAGGTGTCAAAAATGTTCTTTTAAAAGCATCTGACACCCTTATGATGCCTTCACAGGTGTTGCCATTTATTAAAGCGGAATGTTAAAAGTGTCCGACACTGCTAGAGGTGTCACATTGACACTTGCAAAAGGATCTGACACCAAAAACAGCGTGAAAAAAATGAGGAAAAATATTCCCATGGGGTGTCTCACGGGTGTCGGACATCATTGCAGTGTCATATATAACGCCCAGATTGGTGTCAAAAATGTTGTTTTGGGAATCATGGAGGTGTACAACACCACGATGACAACCTTCAAGTGCAACGCGCTTTTAAACACACGTGGGATTCAGAACGACACATTAATGGGTGTCCTACACCCAGGGCTGCGGAGTCGGAGTCGGAGTCGGAGTCGGTCGGAGTCGACAGTTCTGACCGGAGTCGGAGTCGTAGTCGGAGTCGATTTTGGAAACCGGAGCCGGAGTCGGAGTCGGAGTCACCGAAAAATCCATCGACTCCGCAGACCTGACAGGGCTGCGGAGTCGGGAGTCGGAGTTGGAGTCGGTCGGAGTCGATAGTTCTACCCGGAGTCGGAGTCGGAGTTGTTTTTTGGAAGCCGGAGTCGGAGTCGGAATCGGAGTCACTGAAAATCCATCGACTCTGCAGCCCTGCCTACACCAACATCCATTCGGGTGTCAAACACCCTAAACCATCAACACTTCAAAAGGTGTAAAAAAAATGTTCCTTAAAAGGGATCTGATACCATCGTGATACCTTCACGTGTGTTGTCATTTGTTGAGGAACATTCCAGCATGAGTCATGAAATGTTTGAAAGCTGTCGTGTATTCGAACCCAAATCATCACATAAATTGTTCTGACGTCACTTGTGTTAGGAACCAAGGATGCGGTGTCTAACGGATTTTCAGTGACTCGGACTCCCGCTCTGTCTTCCAAAATGGACTCCTATTCCGGCCAGAACTGCCAACTCCATCAGACTCCGACTCTGACTCCGTAGCACTGCTAGAAACCACAGCAGGTCCAGTGGTTTGAATCATTACCCAATCAGCAAGCTGCATTGTGTGACGTCATTTGTGTGCCGGTCACGGCGTCAACCATGCGAAGATCAAAAAGCGCCACCTTGCAGGAAAGCCGTTAGATTTCAGTTGGCGGCGGCTGGCCACGTGGTGCGTGTGCGGTGTGAGTGATGGCAGGGCTTTTTTGAATTTATTTGGATATAGTGGCGCCGAACGATGTTCGCAGTGTACTTCTTCAAGTGATTGTGCGTTAATGATAATGTTTAGCTTTTATTTGTAGCTTGCTCCGTGTTTATTCAAATGACGAGGCGGGCGGTACTCGGTGAAATTTGAAGTCTGGAGTGAGGATGACAACACAGCATTGCACCATGGAAACGAAAGCAAGTGAACTGCGGAATAACATCTGGTTGGAGATAATCGACGGTTAATTATCATTGTTGAAATGCGAGCAACTTCTCACTGTGAATGGACCCGATGTATTTCGGTGAGTTTTCATTGGATTTCTCCATAAATATAGAGCCCATATTTTTTTGTACTTTATAGTTTGTTGCTGTATACAAGATAGGAATGCCATGTTTGTATGCGATACCTTTGCCTGTTTGAACCAATAAATGTAAGAATGTGTCGACACCTTTTTTGGCATCCAATGGACACTCTCGTAACACCTTTAAGGGTGTGTACCAAACTGCACCTCGCTGGGGTGTCAGACGGGTGTCACTTTAGACACCAATACAGGTGTCATTGGGAATCAAACACCGGGTGTCTGACACCCTTTTGGGTGTGCACCCAAAAGGGTGTCAGACACCTAAAAGGGTGTCAGACACCCGGTGTTTCATTCCCAATGACACCTGTATTGGTGTCAAAAGTGACACCCGTCTGACACCCCAGCGAGGTGCAGTTTGGTACACACCCTTAAAGGTGTTCCAGGGGAATATTTTTTTTCTCAGTGTAGTGAACTGTATGAGACTCTTGGCAGGGGATAGAAAAAGTGAGCGGACAGTTACTGCATGCGCGAAGCACACTGAAAACAATTTAACCCAAGGCCCGCGAGTAAACCGGTGTTTTGCAGGTACCCCTATCCGCAACCATTTTTAACCACCCTCCAAGGAGTACTGTAAGGTCCCATTGCAGTGTAGTCGTCCCTGCTCTCAGCGGACTTGTTCGCTGACAGCGGTTATATCCGCTCAGAGCAAGTACGACTACACCGCAATGGGACCTAGCACTACTCCTGGGAGGTTGAGTATAGTAATAGACAAATATATATATATATATATATATATATATATATATATATATATATATATATATATATATATATATATATATATATATATATATATATATATATATATGTTTGTAAACTTCGGCAATAAATCTTCTTTTAGACAAAGACCATTAAACGTAATAGCACTTTCACATTTCGAAAGCTTTGTTTGTGTTTTTATGATCTTATTGACTATTTTCTTGCTGTTTTCGTCAATACGATGTATCAGATCGGCAAAGTTCATGTAAAAATATTCGTTAAAGTTCGACGCGTTTCGAATGTATTATACATTCATTTTCAAGTACACTGTGAGACACTCGTTCAAATAATGCGTACATGGACACGTTTGAAAAACAATATACAGGTCACGAGTAAAATCATAAATAACACTTTCAGTTTCAGCGCCCTATACTACAACAGTAAATATGATCACGTCACACATAGCGCTAGTCGGGTTGGGTTGCTTGTGTGGGTGTTGTTCTGCGTGTTTGTGGGTGTGATGTGTGCTGCATTGTACCCCAGAGAGCCAGTTTTTCTAGGCGTGCGTTTTTCTGTTCATTGATGCTTGGTGTGTGGTCTCTGATGTGTATGGCCTCTGTGATCTCTACGCGTCTGGGGTCACGGTTGGAGTGGATGATCGACGTGTTTTCTACCAGGTGTTCTCTTGTCAGTCTAATGTTGTGTTTCTCCA